TTGTTTGTATTCTGACCCAGATGTTTCCGGCTGAACAGCAAGCCTGAAGAGGCTGAAGAGGCAGAGGAAAAGGCTGGATAGGTGCAGCCAGCTAAGACTGGCCTACACGATTCACAATTGCCGGGCAGCAATACAGAAACTTAACAGCCGAGCTGATGATCTTAAAACCCTGGAGACAGGATGAATGAACTGAGCAGCCTGTTCTCCAGCTTGTTATACACAGAAGAGATTAGAGCCTTCCTGATGTTTATTTTTCCATATGTTGAGTATTGTTATGCTTATTTTTAACAGTTCAAAGACATCACGCTATCAGTATTTCTTTCCTAAGCTGTCTTAATATGAGGATGTCCTAACACTGAAAGTTCACATTTCCACTGCTTCAGGTACACCCACGCTATGCAAGCTCAAGTGCATGCTTATGGAGGAAAGGACATTCTTACCTGGGATTTTTAAGTTCAGGTCACATATGCTTCCAACTGTTGCAACAGAGGGAGCCCGTCTTGTTCGTGTGATACTCTCCTTAACTCTTCCTTCACCACTTATCTTCACAGTAAAAGGGCTGCCTGTAAGTAGCACAGCACGTCATTCCTCTCCTCTGGTCATTATACACACCACACCAAGGGGAGGACTGAAAGCTTCCTCTAACTTGTAGTATAACACAGCGGAAGTTTTAGAGCCTGTTTACTGTCAAGTCCAAGTGAAATGCGCCCATGTAGCCTAAACAGTTTCAGATGCTTGCTCCCTTTGGAGGGTACTAGTTGAACCTTCCCGAATCTTTGGGACTTCGATCTGAGAGAGATCACAAAGGCTGCCTGCGGTCCCACTGTGCTGGCTAGCATAGGTGTGACATCTGCTGAACTAGACAGCAAGTTGTCAAACACTCCTGCTTACCTGGAATATGTTCATCTGCAAATTTAGTGGACACAATGTACACGCCAGGTACAGTTGGGAAATAGGACACTTTGCAAGTTCCATCTTCTAGGTCCTCAGTCTGGATGTCTACCTTGCTGGGTCCTTCAACTGCCAGTGAGATCCCACCATAACCTACAATACAGCTAAGTTAGCATCAAATTTCCACAGTCATATTACAGATTTGACCAAAAAAAAAAAAATCTAAACCCAAAGCAGTAGCTAGTCAGCAGTTTTGTTTCTGAATGGGAATACAGGAGTTGCATGATGCCTTAAAGAAGTTTCTGTAGTCCTATTGGTCAGATCATATTTAAGGCACAGGATGCATTCAGCTCCTAAACTGCTCTAACCATACCCCTCTTACTTCATTAAGGCTGAAGAGCTAGTTTCAAAGACTACAGTCAAGCCTCCACATCAAACCAACAGGGAAACATCTTCCTCATTTTTTTCTTGCTGTAAACAATGATACTGGAATCAGCACTGTCAAATGAAAGACAAGCTCCTCCAGTGCTTCAGGGCTGGTCCCTGTTGGCTCTAAAGGAAGGCACTGGCCAAGACAACATGAAGCGTTTCAGAAGTTAATGGCATTGTCTAGTTAATATACGAGAACAATGACAGTCCACGCTTCATGCATATTTTGCATTACAAACAGATCCGTTGCTTTACAGTTTGTAGCCTGGTAGATCCCATACTGAGGAAGAAAAGTAGCTGAACAACACACACTGCCAAAAAAAGGACAGCAGGAACAGAGAGAGCAGCACTGGTCTCCCTGAGCGAGCAACTGCATCTCAAAGCATTTCACACTCCCTTTGCAAGGGAACTAACCTGCGTCTCTTGTGTCAACAATGAAGTCACACATCTCAAAGGTTCGTCCTTCTATCAAGCCACGTCCAGAAACTCTTGCTCGTCTGGCATCTCCTATCTCAGATTGGACTACCATGATTGTCACAGGGCTGTTAGGTACATGGCTCCCATTTTTCTTGATGCTAACCAGATGTTCTCCTACTTCCCGTGGAATGAACGAGATGCCTACAAAACAGAAACATGGCAAACTTCTGTATCTTTTATGCATGCTATACTTGATGAAAAAGCTTTTATCACGCTAAGAAATGCGAAACTGAAAGAACACTCTTCACACATGTTGAAGTGTTGTTCTCAAACAGGCCAGAAAACCATTCCTCTATGCTGACAAGAAAGCACTTCAGTCACAACTTGGCCTGTCACGCATAAGCTACCACAACACTAAAGTCTTTCTGCTCTTCTGTCTTTGGCCAACTGTATCAAATATCAACCACCACTTGGTTCGACAACACTCCTCCAGGAAGGTGCAAAGCGGCAGCAACTCATTTAACATAACAAAGCAAACTGGAGTAGAGGCTGTTACACTCTTCTCTGAGTCCAAGAACTGTCAGAGCTTACCAATGTGGTTATTGGGTAGCCTCTTCAGAAGACATGGCTCATCACGGCCTGATGGGGCTTTAATGCTAGCTGTTAGGAGACTGAGATCAGTCTCGTTAATGTCCAATAAAAAGTCAGCAGCAGAACCAAGCTTAACTTGGGACCGTCTTCTGCTATCATCTGCAGAAATAAAGAGGAAAGAGAACGTATTATGAGGTTAAGTGTAGAACAAGTTGGAGGACTTCACGTTCCTGCCACAAACCAGGTCTCCTACTCTATCAGAGACAAACGTTCATTCTGAAGTGATCCCAGAAGTCTACACTGTATACCTGTGATCTTGGCTGTGAACGGACTGCCTGGGATGTGCTTGTCGTTGTACTTGACTAGTATGCTGTAGTCCCCAGGCAGAGTGGGCAGGTACGTGACTGTGCATGTTCCATCTTTGTTATCAATGCAGCTAATCTCTGCTTTTGAAGGTCCTTCAATAGCCAAATCCAGTCCACCTAGGACACAGAGAACAGCACTTCAATAAAACTTCAAGTACAGCAAGACCAAGGAGTTTAAAGAGGAAAGAGGAAGTCAGATCTGTACCTGGTACTGAAAATGCAGCTCAGATGTACATTTTCAAAGGAGAGCAGCAAAAAGGGTTCAGGCCAATCCACAAAGGCTATAACTCTGTTCAGTCTAACAGATTTACTTAACAGTGATTCCAGATCCATTTACCATCCACTGAATCTAAGCTGCCTTCATTTTATGGCTAATTAAAACAAATCACTTATGCCCTATACCCCATCTGAACCTACTTCTCTCAGGAAGAAGTAGTAAAACTGTTTTTACTGCACAGAAGTTGCCGCTTGATGAAATCCATTTGCCTGATATTTGCGCAAGTCATTATTTGTATCCTCTCACATCTTAGAAGGATTCACAGTTGGACAAATTAATGCAAATTATGCTCCAAATTAAGACTGAGGCACATTGCACTTCTAAGAAGCTTTTAGCTTAGAGTAAGAGAGATTTAAAGGACAGACTTACCCTCTCCGGCATCTTCTGTTACAATGGTAAAAGTTGCTGGTTTATTGGCAACACCGTAAATGAGGCCAGGCCCATAAGCAGACACACTTCCACTGTTTGGATAATTCACATAGAATTGCAGAGGGCTCTCTGAAGGAGGGGGGAGGGGGAAAAAACGCACCTTTAAGGATGAGTGGCCTGGGCTACAACAACAAAACACACTCTAAGCTTCTCTGATCCCAACAGGATCTTACTCTTAGGCTTATTGATATCTGCAGTTCTTTGCTGCCATCTTCATCATTGTTTGAAAATACTTGGTATCTGAACATACCTGAAGATATGTGAAGACACATGATGCTTGATATTTGAAGATACTTGATTTCTGAAGATATTTGAAGAACCTTACCACCACTCCAATGCAGGTTATAAATAAACCCCCTTTTCATCTTCAAAAGATGCTTTTTTGCATTTTGTTCCAAATTCAGTCATGATAAAATAAGTTACTCAAGTTACCACAGATGAAAGCTTAAATGATGCTGTAGATGGTCTTATTTTTCACAATGTTATGTTTGGCACACTAAATCAGAACATGGCTCAGAGAAGCTGTCTTTCAGTTCAGATACAGATCCTGAGTTTTGCTGGTTCAGAATTAGGAACTAGCATAACGTATTGCCTGACTCTCTGAGGCTGAGTGAGCAAATCTGAAGGGTATCCAAAAACACATGCCAGCCTCAGATTAGTTAAGTTGGTGCACAGGAACAAAAGCTACCATCACTAGGAGCCAACAGTAGTTTCAAAAAAGGTGCAGATGACTCATTCGCAGCTGAGACAAGCAGGTGCTTTGCTTCATGACAGCCCTCAAGAAGCAAACACTATGGCACATTATCCTTCTCTCCCAGGCACAGGATGATGGTCTTGCTGAGCCAGTACAGCAGTTTGACACTTATGGAGGGGTTATACCTTCATGAAGTACTCAAGATACCAAAGTAGCACCACGTATCACATTCCTTCAGCTACCTGTTTTGGCAAAAGTTATCCTCTGTTTCTACACACACCAGCAGAACCAGCAGCCTCCTTTAGCCAGTCCTGAAGGTGTTTTGTCTCGTGCCCACACCCTCTCCTATGGAGCTGCACCTTTTTGCACCTTGCCCCATGTAGTTAGTGCTCTTTGATAACCGCAGGGTAGCCTGGGGTTCGAGGAAAGAGAGCTTCAGCTAGAGAGTTGAGGGAGCTGGTGACTTAAGAAAAGGAATGAAAGGCAGTAGTTTGTTTGTTAAAAAGCAGCCAGGAAGAAAGCAAGATTACAGCACAGTGTGCATGTGTGCTTTATTCTACTGCAATGAGATGGAAAAAGAAACTATAGTACCTCAGCCATTTAGTCCTCCCCACAGATTGTAGCTTTTATGCCAATGCAGTTTTAAGGATAAACATATACTGTAACTATTAGTTTTGCTGAGCACCAAAGGCAGTAAATTTCAACCTGAAAAAAATGGTAGCTTGAAAATTGTATGTTTCTTCTTCATAATAAAATGCCACAAAAGCTAGTTTCCAAAACCGAAATCCATTTTAAGCCTGGCTGGTACTATTAAACCGCAGTGGAAGCTCCCACGTGTCTACGCTTACTCCTTTGCTTTAGTTTTTCTCTGAACTGCTTGCAAATGAACTGAACAGTAATTTCTCCTGCATATTTTTTACTGCAATGCATACAACTAAGCTCTAGAAATCTTAGTAGGAAAAAGATGCATCAGCAGGACATTTCACTCTGATTTTTACACCACCTGCTTTGTCAGACTCACCTGGAATGTGCTTTCCCATATATTTTATGTGCATTTCATGCAGTCCAACTTCAGTGGGAGCATATCTCACTGTTACTGTGCCATCCTTGTTATCCACAATATCTGGTGTATCAGTCTTTCCAGAAGGCATGTGTACTTCACCTACAAAAAGCAACGAGCATTACAGGAGGAGAAACTGCCTGCTTCCCCTCTCCCACCCACAAAGAATTGTCTAGCCGTTTTAAACGCAAGCATTTTCAATTGTTAAATTACTTGCCCACAGGCACAAATAGGAGACTAATGGAAACACTAAACAGACATGTTTTCTACTTGAGCTACATGAATACAGCGCAGTGGCAGACATCTGGCCAACAGTCCTGTGACCTCGCACACTCTGCAGGCAGGGCTGCTTGCTTCAGCCACTGAAACGTCAATGGCGTGCCCCAAGAAACTTCTGTACCTCCTTGTAAGACGCTGCCTCCTGCAGCTCTTTGGAAAAGCAGAGATCGAGAGCCACTTCAGAGTGGGTTTGCTGAGCTAGCGGGCAAGAGGGCAGAGAAGCCCCACACAGGCAGGAGCTCAGTGCAACGAGGGAGATGGGAGAGGGAGGAGGTTAGTATTACTGGGGCAATACTCTCAGCTGCCTGACCTGTAGAAAAGGGGCCAGTTATTTTGGAGAAGGTAACTGACAAGGCTGCAGGATTAGGCTATTCAGTATCTACACCAAATAAATACAAAGCTAATCAAGGAAGTACGTAGCTGCTTCAGAGGGACAAAAGCAGCAACAGGTCCTAGAGTGAAGTAGTTGACAGCCAAGCACGCAGAACCAAGGCAATACCAAGAATTTCCTCATTTAACTCAAACCATCATAGGGGTGTACCCTGCCTACCCTCAGCGGGTGCCACTTGATGTGTGATTAAACAACTAAGTTACTGGCAAGATATAATTCTCCTCCACACAGTATGGTCTAGACCACACAGACTGTTGGTTGTAAATGCGTAAACACGCTTACGAAAAACAAAAAGCTCTTTGAGAGGCTATGCATCCTTCAGATACCTGTAATTTCTCCTTTCCTGACAGCAAAAGGAATAACCATATCAAAAGGCCTGAATCCCATGCCATTCATGTCTCCAACCGGGACGTAAGCCTCTTCCGTAACCTAAAGGAAGCGAAAAGACCTGTCACTTTGTGAATAAAGGTAAATACAAACTAGCTGATTTCTGAGTAGCGACTGACTCCACTTTGAGTGAAGGCAGGACAGAGTACGCAGTGACTATTGTGGGGTCAATCAGCTATGGGACCGTGCCCAACTAGACCATCGTCCAGTTGAGCTTCCCTTCATAACAACACATTGCAGAGCAGAGTAAATCAAAAATGACTTGAATGGAAGACATGCTGGAAAAAAGTTGAGAGATAAAAATGTAATACAAGAAAATGGAAGACAATGTAGCACACACAAGACCCAAAATGGCTCCATCTGAAAGAATTTAGTTGCTTAAGGCCTGGAAGAGAAAGTGATTTTGAATGTGACAGAGTGATTGCAACATAAAAATCGACAAAAGAAACAAGTTTCACAATGCAACTCTGGACTCAAGACACTGTGCTAATTTTACTGGGAAAACAAAGCAATGCATTCAGGTCGCTTTTGCCAACACTAGACATTGCAGAAGTAGAAGCTGTAGATGTAATGATCTTCTTCAGGTATAAGATATTATGGGAGTTTATTTGGAGACTCCCTTCAAGCAGCCAAGAACAAACAGGTCCGAATCCCAAGAACAATTGATCAAATAGAAAGGAATGAATACAATGACCAGAAAGATTCAAGCAGTCCCCAAAAAGCAGGCTGTCATCTGAAATGGAACACAGATGGGGGAAAACAACTAAAAATGTAAAAATTGTGTACCCAAGGGCGGAATCCAGGGGGGCACGCGCCTAGTGGCTCCTGCGACAGCGCTGCAGCATCATCTGCATCTACAGCCTGGTCAGCGGTAAAGGCAGGTTAGGTTTAGCACTGAAGTAATTCACACTTTTCAGAATACACAATGTATAACATATTCCAACTTATGAATAGCTTTCCTCCCACCACGCATCTCCCAAGTATCTCACCATCCAAGCGACCTCCAGCCAGGGCAGCTGGACAACTGTGTAACTATATCCATGGACAACAGCCGCTGGAGGAAAACCACCAACAGCACACTAAGGAGACACAGCCAGCATATGCCACTTTAAGCTAAGGACAGAGGCTAGAAAGCAGTGCCTAAGCACTACTGGAATCAAATTTCAGAGTTGCTTTCTTATGGGACTAGCATAGCGCGGGAAGTGAGAAGTTTAAACCTAAGATGCAACTCCGTAAGCATTACATAGTGTGGCGCATAAGCCAGCAGATAGGAGAGCCCATCAAGCCAGGAGACCTCTTCCAGGCTTACGCACTTTGGTGAATAACCCAGCCCAAGTCTAGTAATAGCTGTTGAGCTATTCTTCTGATTCATGACCGGGATAGCGTTGTCAAGACACCAAATTTGTTTTCCCCCAGCACAGCCTCCCTTCCCACCACACATGCCAAGAAGATGACTTGCAAATTCTCATCTCCCCCACTTAAAGCAACAAGAGACGTCTGGGCTGAAACCAGCATGAGCTCGACTGCGTTGGGGTTGAGCCATTCACTGTCCTTTTGCCAGTTTATGCCAATGCAACCTCCATAACAAAATAACTCACTGGAAATTTATGTGGAAACATTCCATTAGAAAAAAAAAAAATCCAAAAAACAAAACCCACCCAAAAATGCCACACACCCTAATCAGAAATACTGCTGTTTCACAGATCCCTATCGCAAGCGAAGACAGCAAGTCAAACACATGCTGTTCAGAAGCAGCAAGCGTGGGAGCAGGACTGCTGGCCTCATGAGACGTTTCCCAAGGTGTTTTGAGCGGTGACCAAGGGAGCCATTTTTCTCATGGAAGTCTTCAGAGACTATGGTAGCGATCTGCCAAGGCAGCTGGTAGGAGCAGCCATGCCCGGTGTGAAGGGCACCTCTGGCACGCCAGGCTGCGAGGACTAGTGCTCTCCCGCACCTGTGCCAGCTGCTTCCACCAGCTCAGTCCAAACCCTTCACAACTCTCAACACAAATACAGCTGCGTGGTTTCATGGCTGGGACGTGCTTGAGGTGGCCTCGGCCAGGATTACAAGGCTAAGACCTGTTTTTCTAACGCTGAGCACTGTTCTTCATGTGAAGGCATCCTGCTCTGTATTACAGCAACACAGCCATTATCTTTTGACTAATTTGGTTCCCAACTCCAGAACCTAACCTTGCTTTTAGGCTCGCATGCTGACGAAGCATCACATTGTGATGCCCTTCATTTCATTTCTAAGACTTCCTCAGAGGGTTTCTGTGAGCCCTTAGGAGCATCTAGTTTGTTCCTGAAGGAGGTTTAGGTTTTCGTTTTCTTTTTAAACATGCTGAAGCGTTGCATGTAGGAAGGAATATAATTAGAAGGAGGATTTAGCCATGACAGTTTAACTACTAGCATTTGCAAAGAATTTTTAAGTATGAGCTCACAACAGCCTGCTTCCCTGGATCTGTGAGCAGACCGTTTTTCACTTTGGGGTCGACTTTATAAAGAGTGAAAGACGGACAAGTCAGAGCATCGTATCTGACAGCAGTCGAAATAATTAGTCTTCACAGCTGATTACAACCACCCTTACATCATTTCGAAAAATAACTATATGTTCGGGAAAGGAAATATTTTGTTCAGAGAAGCCAAGTCTTCATTCCTTGATGGCTTCTATCCCTCTTCACCTAACTGTACTGCCTGCTCAAAATAAGCCCTACTAGTAACAAGGATTCATTAGCTCCTGCCAGTCTAACAAATGCCAAAAAAATACTTACACACACACACACACGTTAACCTATCACTAAATAAAATGTGGAAGCAGGAATCTGAGTGGGAGCTATTTTAGGAGCAGAGCTGGCTTACCATTACAGTGAAAGGACTGTTGGGAATGTCCACACCGCCAAAGCGGACATAAATCACATAGGTTCCTGGTTTGGCAGCAGTGTAGAAGATATCGTAAGTCCCGTCCTCATTTTCAACCACATCTGCTTCAGCTTCTGTCCCATCTGGCGTCAGGACGGTGCACGTCACCTTCCCCTTCCCTGCTGATTTGGCATCTACCACAAAACCAACCTCCTCACCAGTTTTCACTGTGGGTGCAATTCCAGGACCTAGAAGGCAATTGTCATTACAGAAAGTGTTCAGAGGGTAGTTTTCTCAACCAGGCAGCCAGCAAGGCATCTAGAAAGCACAACACCAAAATGCCAGTTCTGGAGACATGCAAAAGTTTTTGGAGGAGCCGTTTTATAACAATGAATGTTCCTGATGCTAGTCAGCTCCAGCAAAGCTGGCATCACTGTGAGAGCTCAGAGAACACAGCTGCCAGCTTGGCTTCTCCTCTACCTCAGTGCAACCAGAAAAGCTGGGTAAGAAGACAGAAAAAAGCTAAATTTGAAGAAAGCAGTGCCTTAACCCATACTCTTACTGGAATATTCCTTTAGGTAGAGCCAAAGACACTATCTTCTACTGCTATAACTAGTGACTTAACTATGGCTACTTTAACGTAAGACTCCTTGTGCAAATATCTACACCTACATAACCTATAAAACAGCACAGTAGCCGTCATGACCATGTTTCCTCTTGCATTAGCCACAAATGATTTTCCACTGATTCACCAAGCATCCAAAAAACCATGAACCAATGCCCAAATCACAGCAACCAGCTCCAAGAGCAATGTGTTTAAATGAGAACTATTAAAGTCTATTTTTGACCACCACTTGTTACCAGGTAAGTGACTTGTTTTCAAATGGCAAGGAACCTGCTGTTTTAACACCTTAACAGCGCTCCAACATTTATTCCTACAGCAATTGTATTTCAGCTTTATAGCTGAGGGTCAAACACACTTCTTGGAAGTGGGAGATTTAAGCTGGCATCTGAGAAGAAACTCCATTACAGCTGTTTTGAATAGTTAGTGACTTGAATTACTTGGAACAGTACCAGATTTGGACATTAAAACCTCTTTAAACAAATTTTGAAGCAAAGGAGATAGCTGCTACATTGTTTTTTCCATTGTGCCAAGAATTTATTTCTAGTTCAAACAGGGTTGGAAGCAGCTGTCTGCCAGACTGGCATTGGGTATGTTCTAACTGCACAATTCCAATCAATACAGTATCAGTGCTCTACAAACAGAGGTTCAATTTTCCTGCTCAGTTTGGTCTTGCCTAGTTTCCCCCCACTGCCTCTCAAATCCAGTAATGTTCTTGTATCTAGTTCCTACCCCTTCTGCACCCTCCCGCAGCCTCGAGCTGGCAGCATGCCGTGGTGGCCAAGCCAAAGCTGCATGATGACTACCCATCTTGACAACGGGTTAGGATCTAAGTCACAAATGTGCTCCTACAGCAACAAATTTGGAATCACTCTCCTCTGACAAGGCACTGATTTTTGAGGCAGTGATTCTGAGTTGTAGTAACTTCTGATCTTGGAAAGCTCTCCTTCTACCCTCTCTCCAAAAGTCTGTCCCCACCCTGGCCAATCCTGATTAGACAGAAAAGCAGCAGAACTCTTTACAATACTCAGCCTGACAGGCTTTGCTAATCCAGAAGCACATGGCCACATATTTGCATCTTCAGAATGAATTCTGTTCTTGCTCCAAACTGAAAATCTCCTTACAGTCCTAGCAGCCTAAGGAGCGTGATGCAGCAAACATGCGCACGTGTTGTTTTTAAGTCAACTTCATTCTAGTTCTCAACAAGATTTACCTAGGCCAAAATAAGCATCAAACTTCAGCTGCATCTGATTGCTTATAACAAGCCAGGCAGTTTAAAAGATTTTGCTAGAGACTGCAAGAGAATTGTCATTCTCCCATAAGCCAGAGGGATTCTTTATCTTTAGGAAAATCCCTCTTGTAAGAGCAGGGCTACTAACAAAGACCATTTTGACAGCCAGGTTACACAGGTCTCTAGCATCTTCTACAAAGGCAGATGCCTAGTGCTTATTTTCTCAAATTAGCACTTTAAAAAAAAAATTTACCTTCATTAGATGGTGCACAGTGAGCACATGCAGCCCATTATACATCAGCTGCACCATCCTTATAACGTAGCTTTACTCCAAGTATAAACAACAACAATAGAGAGAGACCCAACACATACCTGTAGCCAAACACTTGCTGGCATCCCCAGCTGGAGATGCCCGAATACGGTAGGGAGAAGATGGGATATCATCTCCGCCGTACTTCACCCCAATTGTATAGCGGCCTGTTTTGTCCGGGACGTAGGTCACTGTGTAAGTGCCATCTTTGTTGTCATGGACATCCACTCTCTTGGGTTTGCCCTCTTGGTCCTGAGAAAAACAAAGTGGAAGATTTGGGCACTATCAAGTTAGTTATGATTTTCTTTAGCAAGATAGCAAATGTGTTCACAACCATATTTGGATATTCTCAGGTACAGAAATGAAGCTCTTCTAGCATTAAATATATTTCAGTCTAGAACTAGTACTAGGAACAGTCTCCTGGAAGCAAAAAGGTGTCAGACCTCTACAAAACAGTGAAACCTACTATTAACTATCTTTTTCTTGTCTGTCTTGATACAAGAAAACTATGAGAGTTTTGTTATCAGGTGTAAGCATCATTTGAGTCTGCTGTCAACCCTCCTTGCAGAGGCATCCAGCTCCTGCAGTGCCGCGGGGTCTGTGGTTAAAAGCAAAATTGCAGAGTCCCTTCAACCACCATTCCTACAGTGAATATAATAATTAAAGAGTCACATAAACAACATAGATCTGAGCTTCAGTATCAAGTTTTCATATCTACAACCAAGGTCAGCATTATGCAAACAATGCTTCCAACAGTGCTACTCTCAGTTACAGCTTTCAGTGTAACTCATCAGCTGCAAACCATGAAGCACTTCAGAAAGTCTTCAAGGCCTGCTCACACAGAGCTGCGTGCTGATATAATTTAGAGCTGCCTGTGGTACAGTATAAGCTGCAAAGGACTTGAATTTTTTTTTTTTTGGTACAGTATGGAAGAGCTTACTCCTTTCAGAGAGCCTTATGAAACAGCTGACATTCAAGAGACCAAAACCAGAAATTGTAGCAAAAAGATGCTGTGAACAGGACTGCCTATGCACTTCTACCATGCAACATTGTTGAACTCAATCTTCAAAGCCAGAACCAAGCTAGAAGCTCTGAGAAGCATTTTTGGATCCTTTAACAGTACACTTGCATTCCAGAACAAAGCTGCTTGTTCTGCAGCATCTGACCGGCCGGACAGCAGGGAGCACGGGAACAAGAATGCAGAAAGGCAAGTACAACCGGCCATGCCCTGAGCTGGGCATTCCAGAGCTGAGAAACGTGCTTTATGGCCCACTAAACAGAGACCTTTTTTGTTGAGGCCACAGAGTCCAAACACCAGAAATATAAGGAAGAGTAATAACAAAGCCAAACAGAAACATTCCTGCAGTATCTCCTTAAGTGGCCTCTGACTTTGAGCAACCTTGAGGGAGACTTGTTTGTTAAGCTAACAGCATTTAATGCTCAATGTGGATGTTGTATCATGGCCTTGCTGAACTATAGTGATAGAAGGCTGTCTCCATTTCAAATTCCAGTATTTTCATAATATTACAAGAAACTTTGTTTATTTCATGTTTGGCATTTACAGAGTGTAAGATCAACTATGAGCCATACATGGTATGGGTGATGATTTTAAGGCAGAAGCCTCGCAAAACGAGTCTCAAAAGAGCACAAGAGTTTCTTCAACTAGAGCTTAAAGTCCAGCTAGTAGGCCACTGTTCAGAGCACTGGATAGGTCAGGGTACAGTCATACACACTTTATATAGGAGCCACTCACTCCCATCTAGAAACAGGTGCTTCAACATCTTCACACACAATTACTTACAGTTATCTGTACAGCAAGAAGCCCCTGCCCGGCATCTTTAGCGTCGACAGCAAACTCCACCGGCAGGCTCGCTGGAATGCCATAGGAACTGAGGCCGGGTCCACTTGCTGTCACCTTACTGGCATCATACGTAGGAAGCACCTTCACCTTGAAGGGACTTGAAGAGAAACGCATTATTGCCCCCTCCTCCTCGAGGGAAAGGCTGGCAGCTAATGCCGCACACTCCACACAGGTGCACAACGCACCAAGCACCGAACAGCACTGTCAGCTTCATTTGAAACCTCAGCCTACGCCTAACGTACCACTCCAGAGTTCCCCTTTCTCTAAGGCTGATAGAGGATGATACTAATTTAAGAGGAGATGTGACATCCAGTCAAGCCTCTGGGGTACACACGCACTCTGGCGAGAAGGCACACAGCCGTCACTGTGAGCACCTGAGCCTGAGAGTCACCATTCTGGTTACTACCCTGATGAGCAGGTACTGCTCTCCCTGTCCTTATCAGAAAGGACAAGGAAAGGTTTAAGCGGAGCTCTGCAGCTGGGAGGAATACTCTGAAGAAACCCACAGGCTTGTGTGGGCAAGCAAAGACACCAGAACAGGAGCAGGCGCGGAGGTGGGGATACACATCTCCTCTCCAGCATTTCTGCTGTAGAAGCAGCAATCTCAAACCACAACTAAACCCCGAAGTTGGGAGAGTAACTACACTGGTTAAGTAGCAAGGACGACAGCTCACCATTAAATGGTGTTTGTGTGCTGGGACAGCACTTTCAGACCATTAACTTTCCAGTTCACCTAAGTTTATCTGCATCACCTTACCTGCGAGGAATCTCTTCATCAGCATATTTGATAGAGATCATATACGGTCCCTCCTGCGTAGGGGTGTACACCACCGTGTGCGTGCCATCTCCATTGTCTACCACATTAACAGGCTCCACAATTCCTAAAAAAAGAAACAGACAATTTTCGCAACTGCGCTCTTAAAACTCAGTTCCTCATCAGTCATTTGCTGCACAAAGCCTCAAGATGCTCGGCTGATTTAGAGTTTGCAACAAGCTAAATTTCCTTTTTTTTTTTTTCCTCTCAATGAAAGCAATGCGCATGTATCAGTAATCAGTTTCCATTATTTCATATTCAAGAGCCATTGACTTAAGATAGACCTGTTATCCACAGCTCACAGGCCTTCAGGCTTCTTGCTGTAAACAAAAGCTAGCAGGACGCTAGTGGAGAAAATTCTGCCTTTCAAGACAGACCAGCTTAAGAGCAATTGCTCAAAGTACATAGAAGATCTTTCCAGAAAGAAAACGAGTAAAGGTTGTAATTGCCCGAACTGTCATTTACAAGATTATACACTGCTACTAGGATTCACTGCACAGAATCGAGCCCTCAAGCCAGTTAGTACGTAGCATTCACTGATCTGTTCTCCTTTCACAATCAAATATTTGGAAAGACAGGCTCACTGCCTACAGGGGAGAACTCTGCAAGCTGCCAAAGTCCCAAGAAAGCAAGACCAATGATTTCAATTTGCATTAAGCTAAATCTACAGCAGATTATGTGACATATCAGGTCAGTTCAATGCACAAAGCAGGCTACAATAACGAGTTGGCTCTAGGACCCAAGCTGGATTAGCAGCAAAGCAAGTGCAAAAGAAACGGGGAGCTGCCACACAAAGCCTAAAAGCAATGGAGTTTGTTCCCACTCCAGATGATTCTTGCTGTTGCCACTTGGATTTTTGAAAGCCAAGATTACCAGTAGTTAGTGAGGGTTCAAACCTGTCTCAGAGTCACCTTTTGGATCACCTTTAAAGAAATCCGAAATCGCTTTCAGTGGAGAGCGCCATGCCTGGGAATCCGTCTCATCCACTAAAATTAAAGAACTGTTACCTAAAGGGCACTTGTGTCAATATGAACCGATTCTTGACTGCTGAATCGGCTCTTACCTCCTAACTAGGGGCAGCTTACAGCCAAAATATACTCACTGCCAAGACGCTGTCATTGAAACACAACTTCTTTCATTAAAGAAAACACCCTTAATATCAATCACTGGAGAGCCCTGTTGCTCTCTGGAGTGCCACTGAGGCATTCCACAGCATGTTTAAGACACTCACGTAACCCAATGACACAGGTTTCTCAAGTCACTACTTAGGGCTAAGTTGTTAGAAGCCCTTCTACTTCTCTACAGAGACAAGATCGGAGGAAGCCTCCCCAGCTGTTGCAGACTGGGGCACAGACTTCATCTCCCCTGTAAAGGGCATACACATCTACTGTTAGCCCCCAATAACTCCCTCACACATACCAGGACAGACAACTAACAGTCCCAACGTGCCATTTCAGCGCACACAGCATCCTCAGAAAGCCACCATGCAGAGATGGAGTTAAACAATTCAGTGTGGGGTAGCAATCTGCATACAAACCCTTGCTAAACTATTCCAAGCAGGACTTAAGAGTTGTCTACCAGCTCTGCCTCAAGGCTCATGGAGGAACACTCCTATTTCACTGTTTTTATCGTTTTGGGGGTTTCTTTGGTGGTGGTGGGGGGGTTGTTCCATGGAAGAGTAAGACTGTAGGAATGTGAAGTAGCAAAAAAGATATCTCCCAACTGAAAAAAGCAAACACTATTTCTAAGTTGTGCTAGAGCTCACTGTCCCTCCCTCCCTCCAGGAGGCTGAACAGTTTGCATGATCTATAACGAAAGTGATCGATGGATATCGGAGCCATAAACTCTTCCAGCACATAGCTGGCTAGCCTGGCCTTGCACTCTACGTCCCACACAGGGACGTGGGGCTGGGCTACCAGCCACCAAGGCAAGCCCCTGTGGCCAGAGCCACCAGGAGTTCGTAGCGCATGCTCAACCAGCACCCCTGCTAGCTCAGCTCTGCTATGCATCTGGAGAGCAAGTGGCTCCTGCGCCGTTGGCGGTGTGCTTCAGGTGGGATGCTGGGCTGAGCCAGTCCCCGCTCGTGTGCGCGTACTGGCGCAAGGTGTTGCTATTCCCAGTGTTGAACCAAGTTTCATGCAATATAGGGACTCAAGCTGGGCCTTCGAAAGGACCAAAGCAGCACTTCTCATTGCTGAAAGGCAGCAGTGAGACTCAGTATTTACTCCTCTAGGCCTAAATCTAAGCTGTGACTGTTCACCAGTGATGCTTACTCACATCTCTTCTCTCTATAGATTAAGATAAAGCCATCCAGAGATATTGCCCAAAGCAGCAGTACCCAGAACACAGTTCCCCTCCATTTAGAGCACAACATACGGGTCAGCTCTTGAGGCGTACACCCCAAACAAACAGGAACCAAGGGAAATGCAAATTCAAGTGGTTATCACCACCTCTACAAGCAGGACCACAACCACGCTACCCACCCAAATACAGAGGCACGCGAGAACTCAGTTCTTACCTCTGGGTCCTGCTACCACCACCTCGAGGGGTGCTATTCCTGCCTTGCTGGTGTCTACAGTAAAGGACTGTGGGATTTTGGCTCGAACAGCTGTTCCCAGACCAGGTCCGGAAATCTTCACCTTGCTAGGATCCACAACATCCTTCACAGGAACCTTGAAAGGACTGCCTGGAAGTTAACACAGCAAGTCTTAAGCAACTGTTAACAGTTACAGTAAAGTGCCCATAGGCAGGCAAATGGCTGGCTTCTAGATTACTTAAGCTGCCTAATCCACTGGTCCCTCCTAACGCTTTCCATGCATCTGCAACTCAGAAGAGCCAGTATAACACAGAGATGAACATCATTACGTTTTAAAAGCTAGGGACAGAACTGGTACACCAGCTGACAGCACGTTTTAAATATAAGTATATTTGTAAGTAGTTTTGGAAATGCAGTTATTCTGGATAAATCTGCTACTGCCATGCTAGAGTCATGTTGCTGGAAAGCAGATCGAAACAGGTAGAGGAACGACTACAGTCAAGAGCTGAAGCTTATCCATTCCCAAAGAGGAAGACCCTCTAACGCTACCACACAGCTAGTACTACCTACTAGCTCAAAAGGGCAAGGCACCACGTCCTTGTGCTTTTACAATACCATTTTTCCAAGATCCCAGCACTTAGGAGATTATAACCAATGTTCTTTTTCCCATTCTTCCCTGGGCCATTTTTTTACTATCCCTCAACTTCAGGTAGGAATGAAAACCCCACAGTCTCCATACTATTTCTCTGCTTCTGCAAAAACCAAAAGTGTAATGATGGTGCTTCTAGATTTTCACTGTCTACTCAGATTGTCTTCTTCCCCACCTAGATTTCAGGTTGACTGACAGGTCACTTAAAAGCCTATTCATTCAGATCAACCTGCAGTTTCTTCAGAGCTCAAGTTTTGTGGGACTAGGCGATGTCAACATTTCAGGCACTTCTGTGGTACCTGAACAACACAGGTTAGGATCGAAGGTGGTGCTAACTCACCACTACCTAGAAGACACCAGGCTGAGTGCCACACTCTGCT